GTAGATACCTTATTTCACACTAAACAATGCCATTCTCTTCCCATATCTCAAAGATGTAATAGAGGGCTCTAGTCAGGTCTCTATTTACTTCTGCCAAAGACCTCATTATTCTTACAGAACATAATACAGATAATTTGCTGACCTAACAAGCAACACTGTAATAAGTTACAGAACAGAAAATAGAGTACATTTGTGATCCAGAATCCTCTGCTTTATTATTACATTTTGTTCACTAACTTGCTAAATAACAAAATCTAGTAACTCACAGTAGGTTATACAATTAGTCAAACAACTTAACAAGTTTCTATCCATCTGTAATCATGCTGGCCTGTCTTACCAACCCCAGAAGGACTGACATCACACCCCAAGTCTTTCAAGCCCTTCCTGCAGGGCCCAGATTTATTAATTCAAACTAGGGCTGTCAAACCGTTTAAAAAATTAAACATGATTAATCGCAAGATTAAAAAAATAAGCGTGATTAATCATAGTTTTAATTGCACTGTTAAACAATAATACAATACCATTTATTTAAATATTTTGGGTGTTTTCTACATTTTCCAATATATTAATTTAAACTACAACACAGAATACAAAGTATACAGTGCTCACTTTATACTATTATTTTTTATTACAAATATTTGCACTGTAAAAGAAGATAAACAAAAGAAATAGCATTTTTCAGTTCAGCTCATACAAGTACTGTAGTGCAGTTTCTTTATCGTGAAAGTGCAGCTTACAAATGTAGATTTTTTTTGTTACATAACTGCACTCAAAAACAAAACAGTGTAAAACTTTAGAGCCTAAATGTCCACTCAGTCCTACTTCTTAGTCAGCCAATCACTAAGACAAGCAAGTTTGTTTACATTTACAGGAGATAACATTGCCTGCTTCTTATTTACGTCACCTCAAAGTGAGAATAGGCATTTGCATGGCCCTATTGTAGCCAGCATTTATGTGCCAGATATGCTAAACATTTGTGTGAACCTTCATGCTTCCCTCTGGCCCCCGCCCCCGCCCCCCTGCAGAGGACATGCTTCCATGCTGATGACAGGTTCTGCTCGAACGATCCAAAGCAGTGAGGACTGACACATGTTCATTTTCATCATCTGAGTCAGATGCCACCAACAGAAGGTTGATTTTCCTTTTTGGTGGTTTGGGTTCTGTCATTTCCAAATCAGAGTGTTGTTTTTTTAAGACTTCTGACACATCTCGTACCTCTCAGATTTTGGAAGGCACTTCAGATTCTTAAACCTTTGGTGGAGTGCTGTAATTATCTTTAGAAATCTCATATTGGTACTGTGACGGACTCAGACCAGAAGGATATAAGAGAGTGGTGAAAGGCAGGTATACCAGTCTCAGGATGAGCAGGTCCCTGTTTCCCTGGATAGCCAAACAAAGGCTACCCCAGGCCAATTAAGACACCTGACACCAATTAACCAGTTAAGGCCATCAGGCTAATGGAGACACTGGAAGCAATCAAGGTCCCATTCATACTGCTTAAAAACTCTCCTTCCAGTTGCCTTGACAGAACCCCAAGTGAAAGGAGCTGGAGGAGGGAAGCATTGCTGAAGCCTGAGGTAAAGGTGAAGCTAGAAAAAGGGGACCATGGGGAAGTGGCCCAGGGAATCAAAGCAGCTCCAGTGGTGAAGGGGAAGCCACCAACAGCTGCTACCATTAGGGTCCCTGGGCTGGAACCCAGAGTAGAGGGTGGGCCTGGGTTCCCCCTCCTGCTCTACAGAGACCCCATTGAGAGGGGAAGCACGACTCGGTCCAGACAGGAGGCCGGACCTCATCTACGAAGCTCAAAGGAGCAACAGAGACTGTGGGGTTTTCCCCCTCCCCACTTCCCATACTGGCCTGTGATGAAAGTAGCTTGGTAGGCTGACCCTTGCCTCTACTCTGAGAAAAGGGAAGTCACATTGAGGACCGTAGCGAGCTCCTGAGGCCACTGAATCCGCCCAAAAGCACAGGACCCACCAATACAAGCTCAGAGCTTTGTCACAGTACCTTCTTTGCATTTTGTCAAATTTGCAATGAAAGTGTTCTTAAATCAAACAACATATGCTGGGTCATCATCTGAGTCTGCTATAACATGAAATAGAACACAGGTAAAGCCAGGAGCAGGAGACATGCAATTCTCCAGGGAGTTCAGTCACAAATTTAATTAACACATTATTTTAACGAGATTCATCAGCATGGAAGCATGTCCTCTGGAATGGTGGACGAAGCATGAAGGGACATAAGAATGTTTACCATACCTGGCACATAAATACCTTGCAATGTTGGCTACAGAAGTGCCATGTGAACACCTGTTTTCACTTCCAGGTGACATTGTAAATAAGTGGGCAGCATTATCTCCCATAAATGTAAACAAATTTGTTTGTCTTAGCGATTGGCTGAACAAAAAGTAGGACTGAGTGGACTTGTAAGCTCTGAAGTTTTACATTGTTTTGTTTTTGAGTGAGGTTATATAACAAAAAATCTACATTTGTAAGTTGCACTTTCACGATAAAGAGATTGCACTACAGTACTTGTATGAGGTGAATTGAAAAATACAAATTCTTTTATCTTTTATACAGTGCAAATATTTGTAATAAAAATAATAATATAAAGTGAACACTGTACACTTTGTATTCTGTGTTGTAATTGAAATCAATATATTTGAAAAAGTAGAAAAACATCCAAAATGTTTACAATAAATTTAAATTTTGGTATTCTAGTGTTGTTTAACAGAACTATTAAAATGGTGATTAATCACAATTAACTTTTTAAATCAAGTTAACCTGTTTTGAACTAATTGTTTGAGTTAAATGATTCATTTTCAGCCCTAATTCAAACAAAACCCCACAAAGTACCACAAAGATCACAAGCAAACGAGATTATCAGGACCGAGAGGCCTTTCCGACTCTGCACCTCTCTCTGCTCCAGGGTGACCTTCAAGAGTCAAACTCCTTGCCACAGTCCCCAAGCAACTGAGCTTTCACAGACCTTTTACAGGCAACATCTCTCTCTCTCTCTCTCACAACACACACACACAACTTCTCAGCTGAGTCTGATAATCAAAGAGGGCTGGCTGGTGCCACATCCCCTAGTCTTTAAAGGGACAGACTACCCTGCTACACCATCTAACTTGAAAAAGACTAGCCAACTCCTGGGCATCTCGAACCTGCTCAGACCTGTACCTCCCACAAGTTCACACAAAATGCTACTCTGTGGCATTTGGAAACTTTTAGTCCTTAGTGTGTGATTAGGAAAATAACACTAGTAGCTCCTTCCTGTAGGTGGGCAGACAAAGCGAGAGTATGCCTACAAGAAGGCTGCTAATACATGTTGCTTTCTCTTTACGGTGAGATTGAACGCAATGTACCATGCGATGTATGAAACGGAGAAGGAAGAAAAGAAATCAGGATAATAACACATTAAGAGGTAACATTTCTTCTTTGTATTTCAGTTACAAATTACAATAGATAGTGACAATATTATTCCTGAGTAATGCAATGAAACTATAGGCATGCAATGCTATAATTATCCTGTTTGTAACAACAAAAATGCATACCTGTACAAAGCTTCTATTGAAATATTAATAATATATACTGGAACATTAATTTAAATTGAGAGTGAAAAGGCAGAGTTATTAATGCTTATTAAACATTCTTAGTCTTTTTAGTGTACTGTATATCAAAGTTGTCAGTTCTGCAAATTTGACTTGAAATTCTGTCAGTTGTACATTTTTTACTATTTTAAATTTTTTTAAATGTATATTTAAAAGGAATGAAAGGAAAGTCTTTTTCTGATTCTGGACTGTAACTTATTCAATATAATATTAGAGTTTATCTGTCTATTACTTTCTGCATTCCAGGAATGCTTTAACTAGTTTTTAGTAAAAGTTTGGAGTTTATCTGAAAGCATTTTAGGGGTCCGCAAATGAAAAAGTTTGAAACCACTGACATAGAATATTTTATATATGAGCAGGAATATGTTTAAGAACCGCTAGTTAAACTAAACTATTGAAACCAAGTTCCTGAACAATAGGAAGCTGAGCCCAATCTACTATTCTAATCTGTAAACCATTGTTTTAAAGTTTATTTTACTTTAAGGCTCGTATTTTTAAGAGGTGGGATTTCATGCAATACATGCATGCACACAATTTATATGCAGTTACTGTATTGATGTGTGCAAACTGAGTAACTGCTTGAGAACAGGAAGTTGGGCATCCATCTACCTAGTTGTGTGCATAACTGCAATAACTATAAATACATCACATGCATACATTTATATTTAGCATGGGCAAGTGGACCTATACCTTTTAGAAATTTGGTCCTAAAATAGTTCACAGCTCTTTCCCACCCCCAAAAATAGAGGGGTGTAGGTAAAATTCTGTAGATAGAAGATTGAAAGGATAAGGTGATGGGATATGGAGCCATTTACTTCTAGCATGCTGGCTCTAATTCAGCCTAGGAATCTAGTGACTGAAAGCTGTTACCATCTTCTGGTTCTTCAGTAGCCTAAATTAAATTAAAATGGTGGTCCACATCATGCACACAAACATGTTTACATACTCCAACAACAGTTTTCATCTTCAAACTTAACTTACAAAATAACAGGGTTTTTGTTGTTGCTTTTTAAAATGATGAACAGATGCTATCTTGGCTATTCCAACTATTCACATATCCGGAGGGAAATAAGAAAAGAAAAAATGGATCCAAGTTCATGGACAAAAAGTTTGTAAATATGCAGCCAGTATAAAAATAACACATGTAATCTAATGAGTGCTATATATCAGGACCGTGTATTTTTATATTCATAAGAATATATAGTTATGTAGAGCACACCATTTTCACACACAATCCAGGAAATGTTATTTCATGAATTTGTGCCATTCTATAATTTAAAAAAACAAGAGTAGCCACAGAGAAACCACAGATTAAATACAGATTTTAAAATGCAACTTCCATTGTTGTATTTTTAGGTAACCTTGAAAAGAAAAGAAAACTTTCGAGATGTTTAACACAATCTCAGCACAACAGGATTTTTCCTCCAATGGAACACTGCCACAAAACTTGGAGAGACTGCATTTGATTTTGATAGCACTATATAGTGTCAATCTGGCAGGGGGCGTTGCTGGAGTCATTGTGATGGCCCTTCAATTGTTTCAAAGGAATATACAATCTGTGATGACCATCATTATCATCAATCTCATGGTGGTACATTCCATTCTCTTACTCAGTCTTCCTTTCCGCCTTACCTATTACATTTCATCTGAATGGAAATTTGGGTGGTTCACCTGCAAAATGTTTAGTGCCTTGATCTATGCCCACATGTACATCACCTTCATTTTCTATGTCGCTATTATTATAATACGCCTCTTGAGACTGGAATTTCGGAGGTGGTACACTAAAACCTGGATTGCTGCTGTCTGGTTTGTGGGAACTGTGGTTATCTTCCCTATTTTTTTGTCATATTATGGCACCTCTAAAAACTATAACCATTCTAAATGCTTTCAGTTCCACAGAGATATTCAGGAGCAGGGTATGATGATAGCAAACTACTGCATGATTGGTATTATGGTGGCAACAGTCTGTGCACTCTTCATAATCCAATTAGCTGTAATCTTTCAGTTAGCAATGAAATATTGGCCTGACATGAACTCACGTGTGGAATTCAGGGCTCAGATGAAGAGCTTTTTTTTCATCCTGGTAATACTAGTCTGCTTTATACCTCATCATGTATTCAGAATATACTACATCCAGAATTTTCCCCTGGAGGATGACCATGACCTATTCCTATACAATGAAATTTTCTTAGCTTTCACAGCACTGTGCTGCTTGGATATGTTATGCTTCATAGCAGGAATAGCCCATTAAACTATGAACTACTGGTACAGCAAACCTTGATTTTGGCTCTTCTTGGAAATAAGAAAACTTACTCAAGAGTTACTGAGTTACAAGGACTACTGACTTTTCCCTATGAGGACAACGTTATTTGGATCTCTATAATTTTCATTCTTTTGTAGCCCACTAGGAGACCGAAGTTATTGGTTCTCATTTTCTATCCTGAGGGTTGATATGTCATGATGCATAAGTATTCCTCTAATCTTTGAAGTTGCCTAAGTATATTGGCTTTGCAGCAACAGCAAATTTCACCAAGAATTCTCTTTGCTCATCTCTAGTGATTCTATGTAGTCAGCCCGTCTCATTTACTCAAGAGTTTCTCAGTGAAAATAGCTCACTTTACACAATAAATCTGCTCTCACAATTAGCTCATATTGAGGATGGTATATAAACATAGACCAACCTCTAACTGGCCAAAGGTTAGGAAGAATTTTCCTCCTGGAGTACATTATTGCAGAATTGTCCATTCTGAGGTTTTTATACCTTCCCCTGAAGCACTTGATACTAGAGACCAAAACATTTTATACCTTCCCCTTATGCGCTTTGCAATAGTGTTTTTGAATTAACAAGAAAATGAACTTTGTCCAAAGAGCAGAAAAATGAGCTATGTTGAAAGAGTGGGAAAAGAGAATTGGGAGCAAGGCTTAAATTAAATAGGTGGGTCCAATCCCCCTTTTCTTCTCCTCAACACATCTCTACCAGCTTTTTATTTCTTGTGCCATCTTCCCCTAACTCTCTTATTCTCCTCATTTAAATATGCTAATTGGTAATTTAAATACAGACACAAAAGTTCAAGCTTTTCAGACATTTGCCCAGTGTCACTTCTACGGCAGAATGGCAACTACTGCTGATACTTCTGGGGTTCTGGCCATATGGACTGGAGCTGTAATGCAGTCTCAAGTGGTCTGGTCCTTCAAGAGAACAATAGCCCTGTCACAAGGGAAGTATTTTATCAGCCTCCAAAAAACAGAAGTAAATCATCTCTCTGATGACTATTTTTGCTTAATGTTCCTAAATTGTATTGTTGATTTCCAGAGCTAGATGCTGTGTTTCTCAGGTTCCCGATGTAACTGAAAGTGATACTAGAATAATTTAAGAAAACGAAAATTGTTTCAATCAGCTCTATGAGCATGTGCGTGTGTGGGGGTGTATGTACAACCATTTGTTGCTACATAGGCTTCCTTCCTCCTCTCCCCTTACACTTGTATCATGTTCCTTGTCAGCCTCTTGTGACCCCGGGGATAGGACATCAGTGGTTAATAGCCTTCAGTGGTTAATAATAGCACCTTCTCCTGGGGAATTCTGTCTTCTCTTTTCCCTCCCAAGGGTGCTGTAAAAATTTGTATACTGAGGGTGCCAAGAGCCATTGAACCAAACTGTAAACCCTGTATATAATGGAAACCACTTCAAGCCAGGGGGTGCAGCAGCACCCCCATCACCCCTAGTTCCAGCACCTATGCCCCTCCCTCTCCCTCACTTATATATTTAAAATCAATAACACAATGACAAAGCATATAGTTGGGGCCTGCCTCTGATGCTGCCCCCTTGAGGTATGGCCTTTCATCTCAGGCCCCACTCTGTCATTTTCTCCACTGAATCCTTCAGCTCTAGACCAGACTGTTCCCTACCCAGTCCTCTCCCAAGAGTGCCACAGCACATGCAGCAAGTCCTAGTCTTTTGCATTTTGGTTCTGCAGTTTGTTTGGTGGCCTTTGTCATCAGAGTGCAATGCGGTCTATATTTGAAGGAGCCAATGTGTGGCTGTGAGATGAGTGGGTTAAGCTTTAACCACTGAGTTCTTTTTTCCTCTGAATAGCAGCACCTGTTTGGACATGGGAAGAGGCTCTGTCTGCTTTTGAGAATCCCAAAGAAGTGACCTTGCCCTTAACCACCACCCCGCCACACATCCAAAACGTTCCCACCCACTTACTCCCTATTTTTGAAAGTCAAATGTACATCCAGAGATCCCAACGCTCCTTTTTAACTGTCTATACCGGGGTGGGCAAACTTTTTGACCCGAGTGCCACATCTGGGAATAGAAATGGCGGGCTATGAATACTCACAAAATTGGGGTTGGGGGGGGGAGTGGGGGAAGGCTCTGGCTGGGGGTGCAGGATCTGGGGTGGGGCCAGAAATGAGGAGTTCAGGGTGCAGGAGGAGGCTCCGTGTTGGGACAGGGGAGTGCAAGGAGGGGGGCTGAGGGCTCCAGCTGGGGATGCACGCTCTGGAGTGGGCCTGAGAATGAGGAGTTTGGGATATAGGAGGGTGCTCCAGGATGGGACACCCCTGCCCACCCCTCTTCTATACGCTTCTATTTGTTTTTTAAAACAGACTGTGTTAGGGAATGGTAATTGCAAGGTCCATTCTTCTTTCAGTACCTTTCCACTTGTCCATGGTCTTTAAAGACAATTGTCAGAGATACAGTAGGTTTATTAAGAGACAGATTTTGCCATACTTACATTGAGTAGACCCTAGTCCTAAAGTAGTCCCATGTCAATAGGATTGCTCATGAAGTTAAGGGACTATCCAGTGTTTGTCAAGGTATCAGAATCTGGCCTTGAATAATCCTGTTGATTTCAGTGGGACTACTTCATGAGTAAACTATTACTCAATGTGAGTAAGGGGGACAGAATCGGGCCCTAAATAATTCCCTTAATCCCCTAGGTTGCACATCATGCAGACAGGCTGATTTGTGGGTGTGTATTTACATATTTTAAAGAATACTGAATGCACTTGTAATATTTTTGTGACTATTATGTGACCCTCTGTGTGTTTGATGATTATTGTGTGGCTTGCTAAAGAATAAGTCAGTTTTAGGTTGTCTGGCACATTTGCAGCCATCTATTCAATGGTTTTTGATAGTTTGATCACCACTGCTTAACTGATAATACAGGTGTCAAGGCCTTTGACCTTTTGTCTCTGTCCAAGTTGGGCACAGCACCTCCAGCTTCCGCGACAGGCCCTTCAGGCAGGAAACCTTAAACAAAGAACTTTAGAACTGTTTAAAGGGCAACCATGTGAAGACAGGGGGAGGGGCAGGGTCTGTAGAGAAGGGGGCTAGGGAAGGTCCATGGGCTAGGTCAGGCCTATTTAAGTCTTGATGGAAATGCTAAACTTTAGGTAAGGTAACATACTTGCATACTTTTTGTTGTTTAAAATCTTTTCTCTCTTTGTTCTTCCTCCTCTTTCTTGCTAATTCCCTATTTGGATTTAGAGACTTTTATAGCCTTCTTCCAAAACTCATGAACACATGCCAAACTATCATGCAGATTGTGATCCGTTGATACCTGGTCCATATACTGAGACTTTGATCTCCAACTTGGTTGTCTTCCATCCACAATCACTTCAAGAGCCGTCCCACCGATATAACTCTCCAGTCTCCACTGAATATGCCCATGCCAACATAGTCTTCCTCAACTTATCTTCAGTCGCAGCAACCCGCATTAGGCCCCTTACAACCTTGTTTCATTTTCTAACATGGTGTGTCAAACTATTTGACCATCTCATCATCTCTACCACATCACATTAGAACCTACACAGAGTATCATCAAATAACTTCAACCTATACTCAATGTGGACCCTATTCTGAAAGAAATCTTTCCTGAACCCTGTCTCCTGGCCTACAATCAATCTCCGAACCTCTTCAAGCTCATCATCAGAAGCAAGCTCCCCACAGACAAGGACACACCAACTCAAAGCAACACCAGACCTTCCCAGAACAACAGATGCAAAACCTGCAGACATATCTCCACTGCTACAATGATAAACACCCCCCACAATACACATTTCAAGATCCTTGGGTCCTACACATGCCTATCACAACATGTGGTGCACCTCATCCAGTGCACTAAATGCTCCAGTAGCAACTATGTGAGTGAAACCAGACAATCACTCTGCTATTGAATGAACTTACAAAGGAAAATAATAACAGACCAAAACACCACACCAGCTGTGGGTGAAAACTTTCACAAAGCAATCACTCTATATCTGGCATATCAGACCTCCTCATCAAAGGAAACATGTACAACACTTTCAAAAGACGAGCCTGAGAGTTTACATTCATAACTTTGCTAAACATTAAAAATGATAGACCGAACAGAGACACTGAATTTATGGCTTATCACAACAATTTATAACCCTTTAAGACCCCCATCCCAGGTGCTCCTCCATTCCCCTCTCCCCTGCATCCTTTCCTCCCTAATGACTGGAGAGGTGTTAACAGGCCACTTTACATTGAATGGTCCCTTGAAATGTGTGTTAACTACTTATGCTAAACAATTTGTTCCACCTTGTATTTAGCCATGACACTGAGGGCATGTCTACATGCAGAGCACTGCTGCAGCACTGTTGTACGGCTGCAGCTGTGTGGCTGCAGCACATCTAGTGAAAACACTCTATGGGGACGCTCTCCCAGCAACACAGCACTGTGCACATGAGTGCGTATGTTGGTGTAACTTACGTTGCTCAGGCGGTAGAATATTCATGCCCTGAGCAACATAAATTATGCCGACATAGGCTGTAGTAAGAAAAGGAGTACTTGTGGCACCTTAGAGACTAACCAATTTATTTGAGCATAGGCTTTCATGAGCTACAGCTCACTTCATCGGATGCATACTGTGGAAAGTACAGAAGATCCTTTTATACACACAAACCATGAAAAAATGGGTGTTTACCACTACAAAAGATTTTCTCTCCCCCCACCCCACTCTCCTGCTGGTAATAGCTTATCTAAAGTGATCACTCTCCTTACAATGTGTATGATAATCAAGTTGGGCCATTTCCAGCACAAATCCAGGTTTTCTCCACACACCCCCCTCCCCCACAAACCCACTCTCCTATTGGTAATAGCTTATCTAAAGTGTAGACATAGCCTGAGTTAGTTTCCCAGACATGAAGAAGAGCTCTGTGTAAGCTCGAAAGCTTGTCTCTCACCAAAAGAATTTGGTCCAATAAAAGATATTACCTCACCCACCT